GAATAAAAACATACTATGCGAGCCTCTGGCAAGTTCAATAAATTTAGTGTTGAACTACATGAATATAATAGTCTATTTATCACATATCTAAAATAAGAATGGTTAACCATGGAAAAAGAGTCATTTTTCATTGGTGCGCCTATAGTGTAACGCGCACTATGTTTCTATATAATGCAAATGACGTCCATCAAAGTATTCTTACACTAGTGTAATATCGTTTTTATTAAATGGCTTTATTACACTCCTTCGCTGTGGTTAATGTGATGAAAACATAGTACTCATCAATTATCCCAGTTTATCACCATACACAACTTTTACAATGTCCTATAGCTTATAAATGATGGAATATTAGGAAATTTTTATAAAAAGATATATTATCAAAATAATTTCAACACAGATTAACTTTAATCTGATTAGTTTCTGAAATTGATTTGCCCTGCTTGGAACAGACTATTAAAATTTGTTTGCTTTTCAAAGTCAAAATAAAAAATTGAGCTACAAACTGTATAGAACCTGATCATTCCCCACTTTCCAGCTTTATTGGTAAAGGAAGACCTCTAGTTCAGCAATGTGCATTATTTCAGGTACAACGGGGCAATTGAGGAGAACAATGGACTTTCTGTAAGCTAGCTGGATAGCTTCATATTAAGACAGAAACTAAGGTGCCCTAACAAGATTCAATTCCAAAGGGATAAGGGGCAAGTTATTTGAAGTTGGCAAACAACAGAGCCACAAGTCGGCAAGCTTAACCACTAAACCACCAAGTTGTAATGTACTCATAATTTATGTGTTTGGATTAGATTCATAAAGAACTAGAACTATCGGTTAATGCCATTCATACCCCAACCAATGTCCTTTACAGAAGACAACTTGGAAAGGCACAAATAGAAATTATCACTGGTGAAAAAAGACAAATTGTACTGGTAATAGTATAAATATATACTGTTAAATCATGTTCGAAACAGTCACAAATAACCTTTCATTTTCCCAATGTACTAAACATTTTCTAAGTCAATTTTTGACCTTCAAGTGTGGCCTTGACCTTAAGCTGGCACAAGGGTAAGATGAATTCTGCACATTGCCCAGTTGGGGTGAACATTTGAGTAAAGTTTGAAGAAAATCCTTCCATTAGTATAGAATTTATAGAGCTGACACGACATATTGTCTGATATTGATTATATGTAAATTTAAAGACTTAAAAAGGGGCATATTTTGGTTAAAATGCAATACAGAGTTATGAAACTTGACCTGCATATCTTATTAGTGACACCTTATATATCTTTTAAGTTTCAAGCTAGTTTCAGATATATTCAAGTACATGTTAAAATTTAAGAACATTTTCTAAGTCAATTTTTGACCTTCAAGTGTGACCTTGACCTTTAGTCGGCACAAAAGTAACATGGATTCTGCACATAACCTTGTTGAGGTGAACATTTGAGTAAAGTTTGAAGGAAATTCTTCCATTGGCATAGGATTTATAGAGCGGACACGACATATTGTCTAATATTTGATTGTATGTAAATTTGAAGACTTAAAAAGGGGCATAACTTTGTTAAAATGCAATACAGAGTTATGAAACTTGACCAGCATATCTTAATTGTGACACTTCATATATATTTTAAGTTTCAAGCAAATACCTTTACTAGTTTCAGAAATATTCAAATACATGTTAAAATTTAAGAATATTTTCTAAGTCAATTTTTGACCTTCAAGTGTGACCTTGACCTTAAGCCGACAAAAGGGTGACATGGGTTCTGCACATCCCCTGGTTGAGGTGAACATTTGAGCCAAGATTGTAGAAAATATTTCAATTAGTGTAGGACATACAGAGCGGACACGACATACTGTCTAATATTTGACTGTTTGATATTATACCTTCAATTGTGACCTTGACTTTGAGCTGACACATGGGCAAAATGGGTTCTGCACATCCCCTTGTTGAGGTGAACATTTGAGCCAAGTTTGAAGAAAATCCTTCAATTGGTATAGGATTTATATAGCGGACACGAAAATGGAGACGGATGGACGGACTGACCCACGGACACGACAAAGCGAATCCATTATAGCCCCCCCCCACATTTTGTGGTGGGGGTATAATTAGTACTACTGAATATATAGAAATGGTCACAGAGAAATGTACATCTGGAATTTTTTGTGAAAATGTCTGCTGGTATCTTAATCACCACTGAATGTGAGAGTTTTTTTTAACTTATATCTGTAAGTACAATAACCTACTCGTTTCAGTCTCTGAGCTCTAATGACAGATCTGCCACATAATATCATAGATACAATCGTCACCACCAGCACAAAACAATCTAGTACAATATAACCTGCCTTCTGTTGGTCCTGTATATCTGTAACAAAAACAAGAATAATTCTGGTTTTTAAAGCAGCATGCCTCCAAATTCATGCTAATTATTATGAAAATTTATTTAAAAGTAAAATATATTGTATATGTTGTGAAGTAAACAAAATAAGTAATTTATACATTACAAACCTCACTTACAATCTATGTAAATAACCAAAAAGAGATCAAAATACACAAAAATAGCCCTTAGATAATACAGTAAAATTAGTAAGGAATTAGACAGAAAATGATTACCATCATTATCGGATGTACCGTCTAGATCTAACTCTTCAAAATCTGTATCTAAGGTAACCAGCATCTGGCCATCTTTGTTTCTGTCATCAAAATTGATCTGTGCAAGAAAATTTACATATACATTTAAATTTCACAGAACAACAAGAGCTATCAGTAGGACAGCATGCTCGACTAATCTCAGTGCTTGATAGTATAGAGCCAGGATTTTCTAAGTTCAAAAAGGGCCATAATTCTGTCAAATCCATGTTACAGTTATGGTCCTTGTATTATGCTCTCAAATAAGTGTGTGAAGTTTCAATCAATTCCCATCAATAGCTTTCGTGATATCAATTTACATGCAAAAACTAAAGCAATGGTGATGCAGACACCTGGTCGAGTACAATAGCTTTCCCTATTCTTCATTGGCAACATTAATCTTAAACCTAATGGTCATGACTGAATCTGCCCACATGACCAGTGGAGACCAAGAACATCCATACTGAATTGCACTGTTCCCTATACTGTTAGTTCATAATTTGAAATTTTCCCTTCTAAAGATGAATGGTTTTGTCCAGAATGAAAAGATAGGCAAGTCCATTTAAGATATTTAGTGTGGGAAGGTTAATAATATCTTTTTTAAATTTGAGATGATATTAATATACATATACATACGCTGACATCAACTTTAAACAGTTGTGGAGGAAAACTTCTTTCTTTCATCTCTAGGCGGAATGACTTCAAAGAAAATTTCAGCTCTGCTAACAATAATCTGAAAATATATTATATTGGCCCTATATAAAACTGTTTGTTAAATCAAATTTCATTGGACAACGGCAGTAAAACAAAGGGATTAAATAGTATGTCAGTCACAATATTTAACTATTAAGTTAACTAATTAGCAACATAGTGTGTTAGTTGCTGGATAGCTAAGTCAGTAGAGCAGTGGTACTGGTTCGAGCACATGTCAGGGTGCACATTTTTCACACCCTGCGACATATTTACATATTGACATCTATTTTATGAAATGTCTTTTGAATGGAGTATTAATTTTTCGTTTGTTTACATTTTTCTGAATGTTATTTTATATATTTAAAGGAACAATGATGTGTAACAGTAAGGGTTGTAAAATAAGTCCATGTGGATTTTAATCAATTTATACTTCAACCTCTGCAGACCAGTAACCTCTGTTCAACAATATTAACAATTTTTCCCTAAAGTAACATAGATTTAACTTCGCTAGAGCAACACATGTCAGCAAAGACCAAATTATTTGTCTCCAAAAGAGTGTTGCTTTTCAGAGATTGTTGTTTTATATTTGACACTGTTAAAAATTTACCGGTAAGTACAAAATGTATTTTTAGGAAAAGTGTGTAATACTGTTTTTTACTAAAGAGATATCATACAGAAAAAAACCCTAGGAATGGAATTAATGGAACAGCAGTAAAAAGTACTTAGATCAGTCAAATATTCATGTACACAAACTATAAACACTACCTGTCAAAAATGTTGTAGTCTAAAGTGACGTTGTGATGTATCTGCATGTACTTCACAATATCGTATGATTTGTTAGTTATGTCTCCAGTTTCGTTCCACCTTCCAACTTTGTAACAATCTACAAGATAAAGAGTGACCCCAATCAACCCATACCATGTTTGAACTGAAAGTGTTTATCGCCTTTGTCACCAGACAAGACACAGGCCAGCCTTCGTTTCCATGCAGTTTGACCCGGCCCATACTGCTAGCTAAGTTATTAATCAAAGGAAGTTTGACACTTGACTTTGTAAATCAAACAGGTAAGAATCTGAGTGAAAGAAAGCTTTCAATTGACAGGACTATATGGAGGCATAATAGAAAAATTGTAAATTTAAACATACAATTCTTGATAAAATCACTTACTTTCATCAACTTTTGAATTTATCTTATACGAATTGGTTGTGTCATTAATTTCACTTGACCTGTATGTATGTAGACACATTTGCATAGGATCAACAATTCCTTTCTTCCGGTAAAATCTCAATGAGCCTATTGCATCTGTCTCCGTGCAATCATACTGAAATACAACAACTCATAATGATACAATAGCACCAGATTCTACACAGTGACACATACATGTAATGAACGTGTTTCTGAAAAATAAAATGACACATAAAGAACTTGCTTCTACATAATAAAACATAAAGAACTAGATTTTGAGCAATGATGCTTAAAGAACTTGTTTCTAAGAAATAACAAAGAAAGAACCTGCTTCTGAAAAATGACACATAAAGAATTTGTTTCTGAGAAATACCACATAAAGTACATGTATTTCTGAAAAATAACACATAAAGAAATGTTTCTGAGGAAACTTGTTTCTGAGAAATGACAAGTAAAGAAAATGACACATAAAGAACTAGATTTTGAGCAATTGTGCATAAAGAACTTGTCCTGAAAGAACTTGTTTCTGAGAATAACCAAAAGGAAATTTTTCTGAAAAATGACATATTAAGAACTTGATTCTATGCAATGCCCTATCAAGAACTTAATTCTGAGAAATGACACATAAAGAACTAGATTTTTAGAAATGATTAATAAAGAACTTTCTTTTGAAAAATGACACATAAAGAACATGTTTCTAAAGAAATGATACCTAATTAACCCGACTCTTTGCAATGATACATAAATAGTCTGATCCAGAGTAATGATGACTCTGAGTATAAAGAACTTGTTTCTAAACAACAATGTTTAATTAGACCATGTCTGAACAAAGATACCTAAACAGTCTGTTTCTAAGGCTGCTGCAAGATACTAAGGAACCTTTAGGGTAATTTCTCAGATGTGATGATTTATGTCCTAGAAAAAAATCAATCTAAATTATAAAGGTGTTATTAAAAACAAACAATACCTTCCAAGTAGCAAAATTGATATGCTCTATGATTTCTTGTGTTGTATACAGGGCATATTTTCCTATCGCAGCAGGGTACGGCATTGTCTCGTATGTACTGTCCCAATTACTGAGGTACATGTGCTCCATTGCTATAGTACTCTTCTCATCAAATTCTACCAGGCTAGATCTACTGTAACCAAACTGTATCAACTGAAAATATAAGTTTGTGTTTTACTATGGTTAGTCTTTACATATTGTAACAAAATTGGTTCAACTGAAAACATATTAGAATTTTTTTTTAGGTTAAATTGATACCCATTATGATTATATAAATCAACTGTACAAAGATATCAATCTAGAGTATTGAACCAGTAGTTATTTTGAGACTAATGTTGCATGCAAATCTTAACCAAATATTTTATGAACTCATGTGTTTTCGATCATTATTGAAAGTCACTCTGACATAGATTTTGCCTGAATTATGGCCCTTTGTGAGTTGGAAAATATTTCATTAAGTTTCATGTGAATACCTTTGAATATATGAAGATTGATTTTTAAATAAGAAGTTTCGAAGTTTAAAAAAGGGCCATAATTCAGTCAAAATCCATGTCAGGGTTACATTGGACCTTCTATAACCAATGCATTACACCAGATTAGACCTTCAGGCTTCTATAAAATAAGTACTACACCAGACTAGAAAAGCTAGATTTTTTATTTCACAGCACAAAACTGGATTAAATCATAATATAGGTACAATGTACACATATCTATAGTTTTAACAAACAAGTTTAACATAAATTATTTTGAAACTGAAATATAAGTGAGTTAAAGATTGAAGGAACAAACAAAAAATGAGCCGCGTCACGAGAAAACCAACATAGTGGATTTGCGACCATCATGGATCCAGACCAGCCTGCGCCTCCGCGCAGTCTGATCAGGATCCATGCTGTTCGCTTTCAGATTCTCTACTTGTAAAAGAGTTGGTAAGCGAACAGCATGGATCCTGATCAGACTGCGCGGATGCGCAGGCTGGTCTGGATCCATGCTGGTCGCAAACCCACTATGTTGGTTTTGTCGTGACGCGGCTCAAATTACCTGTATGGTGACAAGAAGGATTTTAAATATTTGTATCAGCAGTTTCCATGGGCATTTTCGTTTTGCTTTGATTTTTTCATGTGGTCCCATGAAAAAAAACTTCAGTTTTCTGCAGAGTCTATCTTCCATGTACGGAGTATAAAATGAGCTAACACGTGTCATTCCAGGCCTAGGAACGTTACCACTTCTATTGCTATTGGTAGAAGCCGGCTGTTCAGATACATGAGGTCGGGAACTGGAATGACTTTGCTGGTTATGACTTCCTGTCCGTTGCCGGGCACCATCTCCTTGTTGTTGCTGATTATTGGAGCCAGGTTGCTCTTGGTTACCAAATGTTTGGTACCCATGTTGAAGGCTATTTTCATGACCTAAAGTTTCATCATTTGCTGCCATTGACTCTAACACCTGTTGTTTCTGTTGCTGCTCCATACTAAAATACATTTAACATAAAAAAAATCTATCTCATATCCCAATACGGTCAATGTAACAAAATTGAAACAACATATTTCATGCGCAAATGATGTCATGTAAAAAAATATGCACAGCCAGTCAATACTGGTTTAACAGAGTCACCAAAGCCGCATGGGTATCTGATAAAAACAATAAATATTGGTTCTTTTATAAGCAAGTTTTAAGCAATGTTTACATGGGACCTCAGATTTTTAGTGCATATCATTTAGTTATATAAGTAATGCTATTCTATAACCTATTCTAACTTTTGGAACCCAAACAATACATCCCATTATTCTTCCAGGTGTGTCATATGTTCAAGAAAGATGCATAGCAGAACATTTTTTATTGTATTATTACTATAATTTTATGTGCTACATGGGCATTTTGTGAAACTAACCATAATGCAACAAAGCAGTGCGGTCAAATCTTAGTAAAGAAAGATTAAAATATTGATATATAACAAAGTCTATTCAACTTACATTTATGTCATTTTTTTTTTAAAAGTTTCACTAATCAGATTCATTTCTTTAATTATTTGACAGGTCAACAGGCAACCTATTCCAATACTGAAAGGCCAAGGTTTGGAAATAAAACAAGGCAGTTTCCATTATATTATTTTATACTAGTTAAAACTGTGCATTGTAAGATAAACATGTATATGTACACTGTGTAAACAATTTTATTGACTTCCTTGAATTTTTTTTAAAGAAAATAAAATACGATTTTTTTTCAGAGTTGACCTTCACCTTAGAATAAGGAAGTAAACTATGATGTCACCACCTGATTTTGCACTTCCTGCTTCTTATTGATAGCATGACTTCAGAATCAAACAGTTAATAACAATATAGTTATTCAAAGTTGCCATGATTATAATATTAAATGTTTAGATTCAAACCCTTTCAATTTGTTTATGACATTGGATGGTATTTCAGCACTTGAATTGAACCAAGAGTGATCATTGATCACAAGTGCCACCTAATGATAGCCAATTAAACACTAGCATGAAGGGATGATTAACCAGTTTGTTCCCTATATGTCCCAGCAGAAGCTGTGAGTACACAATAATCATTTATGAGTATGACTGAAAAACTTTTTTATTCAAGGGCCATAACTCACCCAAATATCATTCAACCATAAAACCATTGACATATATGGGCAAGTACTTGATTTATCAATCAATCCTGTAAAGTTTCATTCAAATTACATTACTGGTATATGAGAAGTGTTTAGAAGTCTTGATTGACTTTAAAATCATTAAAGGGCCATAACTCTGACAAACAAAAAAAATGGCCTGAAAAATGCTGATGCTGCACAACTTCACTTGGTACATATCATTCCTGTAAAGTTTGGATGAAATTGCACTAGTAGTTTTTGATGAGAAGTCCGTACAAGTTTTTTGACAAACAGACTTCCAGCCAGAATGGAATAAGGGGCTATTTCTTTTGTTATTTTTTTTTTGTTTAGTAGAGGGCCAAGTAGAAGTTGCTGTCAGATAGTGTTTCTTTTTACGCTCAACTCAACTATGGTGCACTCATATTGATTAAATGTCAACCAAATCCTTTAAACTGGATCAATTAAAAAAGCTTTTTAAAATGCAACAATGTGTTTTTCGCAAGTGGGTAATATCTACATTATAAATATATATACAAGTGCATTGTGCTCAGTAAAATAATTTTCTTATTGCAAGATAATGCAGTGCATGACTGCTATTAAAATATTTTCAGATACATTCACTTTTATCCAAAATACCATTGAAAATTATCTTTCATTTTCAACATTCAATACTTAATATGAATTTTAATACAATATACACATATAAGGAGTTACATGTAACACGTTACTGCACCATTGATATTATCCGATTAAAATTGTATCCGAAATATATTACAGTTCTGCAGATTTTCTTCAGTATTCAGATTGTTTTAAAATCTGTTACCTTAAAACGTGAATAAATCCTAGTATACTGAAAAGTAGTATAAATCAATGTGAATACATGCTGATTTAAAACTGCTGATGGACGTTTGATGTTTTTTTCTCTATTTGTCAACAAAGTCAGCTGACCAGGAAGGAAAGGGCTAATCTAAATGTTTTCTCGGTTTCTGTTTCGTGTAAATAGGATTTTACATTTATGTTCGTTTACAGTAACGGATTTAATCTAAGTTTACCATTAATGAATGATGACGGTGGAATTATAAAATAAATAAATAAAAAAAAAAAAAATAAATAAATAAATAAATAAATAAATTCAATCGTTATAAGCAAAAACTGACAGGCATTCTGCTCAATTGTCTTGCCAAATAATGAGCATTAATCAAGTTATAGTATACTTTAGGCGCCTCAGTGAAAAATGACTGTGTGATCAGGGTCTTCAAATAGTTCTATTTGAAAGACCCTGGTGTGATAAATAAAATATTAAATTCGTGTAAGTTCATTACTGAATTTATTGCACTCGTTGAATAAAATTATAATATATTATATATATTATTCAACTCGTGCAATAAATACAGTATTGAACTTACACTCATTCAATATCCTCTATATATTATGTATCTCGTACAGGTTATGCCACTGATTTATATTACATAAATCCGTGGTTATGCATATCGTCTCAGGTTTTTTGTCTGACAACTATTTGATTTTGTATCTTTTAAACATTATTAGTATAGCTTGCAACAAGAATATGTGTAATTATTAACATGTATACTTCTAAAATATTGACGTTTAAAAAGATTAAATGGCCCATGTATGTGTACCTAAATGAGCCGATGCAATAAAAGTTTCTATGAAACATATAAATTTGTTTGATATTAAAATATATTAGATAGATATATACAGAGACGAAAAATTGGCTGTTTAATTTACAGCAATCATATATTTAAAAAAAACACGCTTGTTACAAATACTCCCGCTAGTTTATTATCCTGCAACGCACGAGGGTTGAGTGAAAGGTAACCCTTTTTAACAGCTTTTAGGCAATACCCGCTTTGCATGCTACTTCGATGTACAATCTCCTCAACAGTTAAAAAGTAGTTCTCACGTTGTGTTATTATTACGTCTTGTAATTTTCTGAAAGTTTTCATAGGTGCAAAATTCGTAAAGTAAGGTAACTATTTAAATATTTTAATGTACTAATATTTGCAAAATGATTCAAGTGTAACAATTTTTTGATTTACTGTGTATTGTATTAATTTTATCGGTGTGTTATCAATATGTATTTGTGTCGAATTCGGATAGATCAATATTCGGATATTTCTGGGCATATAATGTAGTGATAACGAATAAGTAATTTAGTGCCTGACCATATGATATAGATTGAATAGAGGCTGTCTGACCAAAATTCATTGAAAAATATCTATCATCTGTCACTGATTATTTGTTCTGTTTCAGGTTGTGTACATGTGTTGTCAAATTATTGGCATGAGGAAATTAAAACACTTAGGATATAAATTACTCAAGTCTTTGTTTTAGTGGATATATTGCTGCTCGCATAAATGAGGGCTGATTGGACAACACTTGTGTTAAACAGAGAGGGATTTATTCTTCTTTTCCTTAACTATATCTTCTTTTCTATAATTGTATTAAGTTGTCTTTTATTTCTGCTATGTCTTGCACATTCCTCATCTCCACCATGGAATATGATGACATCTCTAACAATTCTTGCATTCAGTTTTGTGATGGTGAATATGGTGCTAGCAGATTATGTAGTACAAACAATACACACTAAACGTGATTTTAAGAACTTTTTGTGATCCTTTAAATAAGATAAGCAAGTTTATTTGAATTTTTATGTGATGTATGAATTCCTGCATTCCAAAAAAGGACATTTCAGTGCAATATATTTAAAGCATAGTGCTACTTATAAATGATCAAGCAGATACAAAGTGCGAAAACATTAGTACTAGATACCTATATTTAAGTTCCATTTTCATAATGCTAGGAAGTGGTGAGTTTGTTTATAAACAACAACATATGGGTGTCATTCATGTTAACCCAAGTGAAAGTAAAAGTGATCATTCAATACCAGCATTGACCCCATCTAGCCCTAGCTCTAAATTCACAAAATCAAGCCTTTTAGGTATAGATGACACCAACATTCCATTCCTTGGCGTAGCTCTCTCTTTCTGGGATAATATTTTGGGACCAAGAGTGAGACACGTTTGGCATCCAAGTCAAAGACAGACATTACAGTCGGACCTTCTCTCACATATAACTAGCCAGGTGCTGAGCTGTGAGATTTGTAGAGACCCATTTAAATGTGATGTTGACTACAAATTTTATAACCTGCCTCATAAAGGTGTTATAGTTCCAGCATTTGTGTTTACTGCTAAAGGTACTCATGGTATTGCTGTACACTCACTGTTTCTAGTGTTACCAATATCAGAACTGAAGTTTTATCTTGACATTCATGAAACACTGACATGCTGTTTCCAAAGATTGACTGGCAAGTTCAGAGTTATTCTTGACAAGGTAGGTGACAAATAACATTTTAGATTTTCAACTTATTTCTGTTTTAATACATATTTGCATTAGTATAATTTATGTATTTATTAATGCACTGCAATTATTGTCCCTAACTTCTAAGGTGAGCAAAAGTGATTATGTTTGCATCAAGATTTTCATATTTCTTTAAGAAAAACATGTAATCTTTGATATGCTGGATTTGTGCTGCTTTCAATTTGAAACAGTCTAGTATTCAAAGTTCAAGTTATATCAAAAGCAAAATTTGAGCTACCAACAGTGTAATACACATGAAGCCAGGTAAGAGTTGATATGTGTACAGGCTGGCTTGGCTCTATACTGGTGACAAATGATATGTGTACCGGCTGACCTGGCTCTATACTGGTGACAAATGATATGTGTACAGACTGACCGGGCTCTATAAAGGTAACAGATGATATGTGCAGGCTGGCTTGGCTCTGTACTGTTGACAAATAATATGTGCAGGCTGGCCTGGCTCTATACTGGTGACAAATGATATGTGCAGGCTGACCTGGCTCTATACTGGTGACAAATGATGTGTACAGGCTGACCTGGCTCTGTACTGGTGACAAATGATATGTGCAGGCTGACCTGGCTCTATACTGGTGAAAATGATACGTGCAGGCTGGCTTGGCTCTGTACTGTTGACAAATGATATGTGTACAGGCTGACCTGGCTCTATAAAGGTAACACATGATATGTGCAGACTGGCTTGGCTCTGTCCTGGTGACAATGATATGTGCATGTCAACCTGGCTCTATACTGGTGACAAATGATATGTGAACAAGCTGACCTGGCTCTATACTGGTGACAAATGATATGTGCAAGCTTGCCTGGCTCTATGCTGGTGACAAATGATATGTGTACAAGCTGACCTGGCTCTATACTGGTGATGAATGATATGTGCAGGCTGGCTTGGCTCTGTACTGTTAACAACTGATATGTGTAGGCTTGCCTGGCTTTATACTGGTGACAAATGATATGTGTACAAGCTTACCCGCCTCTCTACTGGTTATAAATGATATGTGCAGACTGGCTTGGCTCTGTCCTGGTGACAAATGATATATGCATGCTGACCTGGCTCTATACTGGTGACAAATGATATGTGTACAAGCTGACCTGGCTCTATACTGGTTATAAATGATATGTGTAAGCTTGCCTGGCTCCTATACTGGAGACAAATGATATGTGTACAGACTGACTGGACTTTAAACTGGTGATAAATGATATGTGTAAGCTTACCTGGCTCTATACAGGTGACAAATGATATGTGTACAAGTTGACCGGGCTCTATACTGGTGTTAATTGATATGTGTAAGCTTGCCTGGCTCTATACTGGAGACAAATGATATGTGTACAGACTGACTGGGCTTTAAACTGGTGATAAATGATATGTGTAAGCTTACCTGGCTCTATACTGGCAACAAATGATGTGTACAAGCTGACCGGGCTCTATACTGGCGATAAATGATATGTGTAAGCTTACCTGGCTCTATACTGGTGACAAATAATATGTGTTCAGGCTGACTTGGCTGTATACTGGTGATAAATTATATGTGTACAAGTTGACCGAGCTCTATACTGGTGACAATTGATATGTGTACAGACTGACCAGGCTCTAAACTGGTTATAAATGATATGTGTAAGCTTACCTGGTTCTATACTGGCAACAAATGATGTGTACAAGCTGACCGGGCTCTATACTGGCGATAAATGATATGTGTAAGCTTACCTGGCTCTATACTGGTGACAAATAATATGTGTTCAGGCTGACTTGGCTGTATACTGGTGATAAATTATATGTGTAGGCTGGCCTGACTCTATGCTGGTGACAAATAATATGTGCAGGCTGGTCTGGCTCTATACTGGTGATGAATGATATGTGCAGGCTGGCCTGGCTCTATGCTGTTGACAAATAATATGTGCAGGCTAGCCTGGCTCTATGCTGGTGACGAATGATATGTGCAGGCCGTCCTGGCTCTATGCTGGTGACAAATGATATGTGCAGACTGGCCTGAATGTACTGCTGACAAATGATATGTGCAGGCTGGCCTGATTTTACTAGTGACAAATGATATGTGCAGGCTAACTTGGCTCTGAACTGATGACAAATGATATGTGCAGGCTGGCTTGGCTTTATGCTGGTGACAAATGATATGTGCAGACTGGCTTGGCTCTTTACTGGTGACAAATTATATGTGCAGGCTGGCTTGGCTTTATGCTGGTGACAAATGGTATGTGCAGTCTGGTTTGGCTTTATACTGTTGACAAATGATATGTGCAGGCTGGCTTGGCTCTATGCTGGTGACAAATGATATGTGCAGGCTTGCTTGGCTCTACTGTTGACAAATGATATGTGCAGGCTGGCTTGGCTCTATGCTGGTGACAAATGATATGTGCAGGCTGGCTTGGCTCTATACTGGTGACAAATGATATGTGCAGGCTGGCTTGGCTTTATACTGTTGACAAATGATATGTACAGACTGGCTTGGCTCTGTACTGTTGACAAATGATATTTGCAGTCTGGTTTTGCTCTGTACTGGTGACAAATGATATGTGTAGGCTGTTTGGCTCTTAACTGGTTAGAAATGATATGTGCAGTCTGGCTTGGCTCTGTACTGGTGACAAATGATATGTGCAGGGTCGCCTGGCTTTGTACTGTTGACAAATGATATGTGCAGTCTGGCTTGGCTCTGTACTGTTGACAAATGATATGTGCAGGCTGGCTTGGCTCTGTACTGGTGACAAATGATATTTGCAGTCTGGCCTGGCTTTGTACTGTTGACAAATGATATTTGCAGTCTGGCTTTGCTCTGTACTGTTGACAAATGAGATTTGCAGTCTGGCTTTGCTTTGTACTGTTGACAAATGATATTTGCAGTCTGGCTTTGCTCTGTACTGTTGACAAATGATATTTGCAGTCTGGCTTTGCTCTGTACTGTTGACAAATGATATTTGCAGTCTGGCTTTGCTCTGTACTGTTGACAAATGATATTTGCAGTCTGGCTTGGCTCTGTACTGTTGACAAATGATATTTGCAGTCTGGCTTTTGCTCTGTACTGTTGACAAATGATATTTGCAGTCTGGCTTGGCTCTGTACTGTTGACAAATGATATGTGCAGTCTGGCTTGGCTCTGTACTGTTGACAAATGATATTTGCAGTCTGGCTTTGCTCTGTACTGTTGACAAATGATATTGCAGTCTGGCTTTGCTCTGTACTGTTGACAAATGATATGTGCAGTCTGGCTTTGCTCTGTACTGTTGACAAATGATATGTGCAGTCTGGCTTTGCTCTGTACTGTTGACAAATGATATGTGCAGTCTGGCTTGGCTCTGTACTGTTGACAAATGATATGTGCAGTCTGGCTTTGCTCTGTACTGTTGACAAATGATATGTGCAGTCTGGCTTGGCTCTGTAACTGTTGACAAATGATATGTGCAAGTCTGGCTTTGCTCTGTACTGTTGACAAATGATATTTGCAGTCTGGCTTTGCTCTGTACTGTTGACAAATGATATTTGCAGTCTGGCTTTGCTCTGTACTGTTGACAAATGATATGTGAAGTCTGGCTTGGCTCTGTACTGTTGACAAATGATATGTGCAGTCTGGCTTTGCTCTGTACTGTTGACAAATGATATTTGCAGTCTGGCTTTGCTCTGTACTGTTGACAAATGATATGTGCAGGCTGGCTTTGCTCTGTACTGTTGACAAATGATATTTGCAGTCTGACTTGGCTCTGTACTGGTGACAAATGATATGTGCAGGGTGGCCTGGCTTTATACTGGTGACAAATGATACGTGCAGGCTGGCTTGGCTCTGTACTGTTGACAAATGATATGTGTAGGCTTGCCTAGCTGGTGACAAATGATATGAATTTTCAGTCCAGCAGGTTAATGGTTATAATTTGATTTTTGATTCATATATATTGATTTTAAATTTCCAAATTGTTTAACTTCTTTATTTACTGTTTTTTACAGAATGATTTTGATGTTTCCATTGATGTGTTCACAAGATATTTGAGTGAATGTGTTAAGTTTCTCTCCCTTGTACATAACTCATCACTAGCAAATATAATTTCAGTAAGTACCACGAACTTAGTAATGCTTGTTATTTAAATTTAATAAATATTTCAGTATTCATGTAGTCTAGTTTTCATAGTTACACAAGAATTGATGCTTTATTTTTTTGTAGATTGGCAGAGTAATGCCCCCTGATAAAGATGAATAATAATAAAAAAGCATTTTAAGACTTGTGTCATGTGTATCTCCAAAAGTACAAGTGCTATAGAATAATTGTCAGTTTGTGAATTGTGGATATTTTCATGCAAATTTATTTGAGAGTTGACCAAGACTTAACTTTAAATGGGAAAATAGAATTATAATGTTATGAAAAGGGATTCAAAACCAATAATATGCTTATATAAAGTAAATTTATTGGGGGGGGGGGGGGGAAAAAACAAGTAATACTCCCTTCTGTGAAGTATGTTTCTGTTGATGTAGCTATGGAAGAAATAAATTAAAAATCTGAAAATTTACATAGCTTGTGTTATGATATATTGGTTACTTTATGTACATGTATTACATGTTTATCTGTAACAGCAGATACTTATACATTTTTGTAACAGATTAAGAAATAGGTTATCTATAACAATGTTATCAATACCTAAATGCATGTATGTTGAATGTTTATCTTAAACTCCTTGTTAAGATAGAAAAAAAAAACATTAACTTCCCAGACTTTATCACAAAGGAAAAAAAACTTTATAGTTCTGGAAAAAACTTTATAGTTCTGGATATTTATTTCTATCTCCGTTTTATTTCTATTCCAAGCAATGTTTTTTTGTTGTTGCAAAAACATGTTGTTCAATCTGGAGCATAACTTAAAACCTATGCAAAACACTGATCTGAAACTTAAAATACAGGTTTAGGGTGACTAAAGGATGTGCAGTGTTTGGAAACTACAACAATATCTGGTCTCATCTTTTAGCTCTCAGATGTCCCCACCCCTCCTCAGTCCCACGGAATCAATAAAGAACATCAAAAACAGTGGTAGTGGTAACTGCAAGCTATCGTCCACACACCCACTAGCACTGACTTAAGAAGAATTAAACATTTCACATAAAATGATGAAAAATTTAATTTAGAAACATCAAAGACATATTCAATCATTCAGTTGCATTTCTTGATTCTATCAATATGTTTATGTTTTTGTTATACAGATATCTGACACAGCTTTCTGCCCGGAGCATGTTTTAGAGCGTGATTTTTTGACCCGGTGTGTTGCCTCTCATCTCATGACGTTTGGTCGGACTCTAGTCATAGGGGAAACAGCAGAAAGAATAAATTTGGTATCATTGTCTTATATAATTTCCACATTATTGATATATGTGCTAAAAAGTTCTATAACTTGTAAAGATAAGTTTCACAATTTAGAGTCAGTGTACCCGGTTCCGCACAGGACCCGGTCCCGCACACTTTCCCATTTTTCATTTTTTCTTGAAAATTCAAATGAATTTATTCAGTTTTCATTTGTGTTTCACTGAACTGGCATGTTTTCAACAGGATATGACATAATCTGGGATCTTGCACCCCAACCTCTCCCTGGAGAGTGCAGACAAAAATGTAAATACATGTACATGGCTGTGTAGGTCACACATAAAAACAACTTATTCAGCAAGTAAACCATGCTCATTTCTATTCTAATGTTAAGATTATTATAAAATATATATTTGAAAAGAAATGTATGTTTTTGTTATGGCAAATTTGCTGTTAGTTATGAAATATATGCACATGAATTAACCTCCTAACTACCAAACGCCAAGTCATTTCACCTTGATTCTTTTGTTTAAAATAATACCAAACTCTTAATCGAACAAATCATAACTAAATAGATGAAAAAACTTTCAATAATAATTTTTTATGTCTGTGTTTACTACCTACAAGCGGTAAAAAATGTATGTTTCCATTGCTGTTACATGTTTTCTGTGTGCTACTATGCTTGAAAATAAATGTTTGTATACTGTAGTAAGAATGTGCATTAAATTTATTTGAAGTCCTGAAAATTTGCAAAAAAATATATCTTATCTGGACTTAGAGATGTTAAATGATTTATAAAACATGTTTAAGATGTAAAATAAACATTCAGTATAAAAATGGCCTTGTGTGCAGAACCGAGTCCACTATTTATTATATTTGGCCCATTCCCAATGCTTAAAATCATAAGCAGGTTTTATACATTATACTAAGTCAACTGTTTTATCGGTAGCAAACAACTCAGTTCCACACTGGAACCCTTTTTTCACTTTTCAAAATCTCAAAACATTACATATGATTTTGACCAGTCAGCCGTCATCCTTTCCAACCCACTGAGGAAATTTGAATTTAACATAAGTCTTTAACAAACTTGTTTTCAAAAAATCCTCTTCATAAATTTAATTAAAAGGTTTTAAAATTTTCCTTTAACATTGTATATCTTTAACTTATATCATCGCCAAAGTCCCTTCCCCATGTACTGGTTTATATCAAATACAATGTTTCCTGTTTGTAATGTTTATTAATGTTTTGTAAATTCTGGAAATAAATATTGTTTAAACTAAGAACCCCTAGAAGTATGTTAAGATAGAAATGTTTTGGTCATCAGTTTTTATGGGCAAAGGATGTAATTTTCAAAATAATATCAAATATATTAAAGAAAAATTTTTAACTATAAAATAATTTTCTTATTTTTCCTTAAAAAAGTGTACGACACCGGGTACACTGACTCTACTGATTTTAAAAACAAACCTCATCATTTTACTGATTTTGATTGGTAGATATAATAATTTAGAAGTATTAGGTAAAATATATTATATGTAATATCTGATCATGTATCCCACACTTACCAACAACATCTATAAATAACTTTTGTGTTGTTTGTTGTTATGTATGATTCTAAATACTGGCAAAATAATTATTTATGATATTTGTTTCTTGTATAACAGACTAACGGTTCCGTTGGTTTTACCCATGCCGGAAATTTTTTCTGGCATGGGTGATGCCAGATGAGTTGCCTGCTGTACAATGGCACCCTTATGGTGATGTAATTTTTTCTATTATGAATGAAGTTGAAATTTCATACGCTGTTGTAAGAAAATAGTTACGGGTGTAATGACATAAATTTCAATGGAAAATTGTTTTATTAAGGTAAAAATTTTAAAATATGATGGAATATGGTAGAATACACAAGATAAAGTATCTGACATATGTTTGGGGTTCAGAGCAGAATATCTGTCCCTCGGATATTCCGATCTGAACCCCAAACATACGACAGATTTTATCAGTCCTTCAATTCTGATTTCCTTATAATTTGTATACCGCCTCCGTGGTCGAGGGGTTAGAGTCGATGACTTCTAATCCAGTTACCTCTCTGGCGTGGGTTTGATCCCCAGGAGATGCTTTGGTAGTTTGGCACGGAGGAAGGTAGTCTAGTACTGGTGTAACTCTCTAGGAACGATGGTTAGGAAACTACCCACCTATATGACTGAAATACTGTTGAAATGAAACAAACAAACAAACAAAACCTTATAATTTGTAGTTCAATTCTTGTAATTTGTATTTCAGGTGCTTTATACACTATCAATGTTCAACAGTCAGCCTGAAAGAACATGCTCCCTGCCATTTTGTGTGAAGGACCCACAACCATATCATCATGACTTCTTCCTGCAAGGACTTATCAAGGTAGCAAAACAGTCCATCATCTTAATGGCTTTTCTTCTGTCAGTAAATAAGTTTATAAATGAGACATAATGACTGAATTTAAAGACAATTGAAGCACCATGTTTTGTGCAGAGCCATGTCCTATATGATTAAGAAATTGGTTTGATCAACATATCTCTGTCATTTACTTTATGTTTGTAAATAAAGCAATTGAAATCACTGAAATCTCAACCCCAGGAATGGTTGCAACTTTTACTTTTTGATTTACAAACCTCATGTAAAGGCCTGCCCTGTGGTGACAGAAAAAAATTAAAATTTAATTTTTTAAATTCTCCCTAAAAGCTCTGCATTGTCTTTAGGACATATTTAATTCTGGTTGTTTTGGTGCTAAAATAAAACCACAGATATCATGCGGATAGAAAAAAGGTTAAATCTTTGTTTATTTTGCCTGTTTTTTCTGCCTTTCCCTAGAGGGCCTTGGTTACAATTGACTGGTGCTTTAAGATATAAATTTTTAGAGGAATTGATATGATACATAGATATTTTTAGAATATTTATGTTTGAAGCACAGAATCTACTAGGCTAGTCTACTGAATCCAAAAAAAGGCTTAACTCAGACCAAATATGCACAGAATTGAAACTTACATTTTCTAAAAGATTGTAACCTGTAGAGTCTTAAACACAAAGTTCCAGGCAAACTCCAAAATCCAAGGTGTCCGCCATGATATATGATTTAAACAAGAAGTCACCTTTCAATCCTTTTCAATGACCCTTTGAATCAAATAAATTAAAAGTTGTTGTAATTGGTTCAATTGTTAGCCTCTACTTAAAATTTGAAATACTTATGCTATACACATTTCCATTATTACAGGAAGATGGCAAATCATTTCTACCAATGACAGAGATATTAGCTAGCCGTTATCCAACCACGATAATAGATTTAACTACACGTGATGTGAAGCAGACGCATACATACAGTGATCATATCTTACATAGGTACGAGACGGTCAAAAATGAACTCATCTGTCTACAATATGGGCACTTTGAAGAATTGGTGGTTCTTGATCAGTAAGTTAGAAGTTTTAATATACTTTTATTATTTTCATCATAAAATGTACATAAAGGTTCAAGTGGGTTGTAGAAACAAATTTTTTTGCTAGAATATTTGGAGTATATTTCAAAAGTGTCTCCAATAAAAAGAATTGCAAAGGGTGATACCTGGCGTTATATAGCTCATGCTTAATCCAATTTTAGATGAGAAATAACCTGTATAGACATCATGGTCACCTGGTACTCTAGCTTACCTATAGGGATTATTAGACCACTTTCCAGAAAGACTCAAACATTACTTTCATCATACCAGTATTCTAAATAGATAATGTGTTACAGAAATATCTATATATTGTTAATACATGTATCATTTTAATCTTTCATTTTAGAGGATTTATAAAAAGTAATTACATTTTGGAGTTGTTAACTTTCAAACCGTTTACCCCTCACCACTGTGGGATTTCGATTCCCAACAGAGGCATCAGATTTTTGTGTCGCCTCTACAGAGTAGTGGCGACATATAGGGATCACTTCTCCGTCGTCTGTCTGTCCGTCTGTCTGTCTGTCTGTCCGTCACAAAACTTGTCCGGACTACTCCTCATAAACTACTGGTGCAATTTCATCCAAACTTTACAGGAATGATCAGTACCAAGTCTAGTTGTGCATATTGTCAGCATTTTCCTGTTCAATGATTTTTGGCAGAGTTTATGGCCCTTTAATAATTTTTAATTTTAAAGTTTTGTCCGGACTACTTCTCTTATACCACTTAAGCAATTTCAATGAAATTTTTTTTACAGGCTTGATCTGTAGCTCAAGTCCTTGCGCATATTGCAAGGGTTTTCCCGTTCAATGATTTTTGGCCGAGTTATGGCCCTTTGATAAAAAAAAGGTGTATTTTTCTGTGTGTTGCCAGATACACAAAAGCTTGTCCAGACTACTCCTCATAAACTACTGGTGCAATTTCATCTAAACTTTACAGGAATGATCAGTACTAAGGGGTAGTTGTGCATATTATCAGCATTTTCCGTTCAATGATTTTTGTCAAGAGTTATGGCCCCTTTAATAATTTTTATTTTTAAAGTTTGTCCGGACTACTTCTCTTATACCACTAAAGCAATTTCAATGAAACTTTACAGGATTGATCTGTAGCTCAAGTCCTTGCGCATATTGCACGGGTTTTCCGGTTGAATGATTTTTGGCCGAGTTATGGCCCTTTGATAAAAAGGTGTTTTTTTCTGTGTGTTGCCAGATACGCAAAAGCTTGTCGCGACTACTCCTCATAAACTACTGGTGCAATTTTATCCAAACTTTACAGGAATGATCAGTACCAAGTCTAGTTGTGCACTGTCTGTCTGTCTGTCCGTCTGTCACAAACTTTGTCCCAACATGAAATGGCCATCATGTGGCGACACATGTGATTACTGATCGCTCTTGTTTCATGTGAGGAAGCTATCCAGTTAGCTCATAATCAGCTGACGGAATGTCGGTGGTTCTGCTTGGGCACTTGTTTGTTCCCAAAATAATGCACAGAAAGGCACCTGAGAGGTGTTTTTCCATAAGTAAAGTTGCCGTGTGACATATACAGTGTTTATGCGACGTATAACCAAATGAAACAAAAATTACATTTTGATTCTTGGAATAATTTAAAAATGATCATGAATTTGATTCAATAGTATCATTTAAATCTATGTAATGAAAAAAATTATTATTTAAGAATCTGTATGTCATTCATATACACTTTAATTTGGGTATGTGATTATAAGTTTGATAATGTTTTGTTACAGGGAATTACATGCCAGCTCTGCATATCCAGACACACTTGTACAGACTTTTATGAAAGAGGTATTTATAGTAATGCTGTCATATATAATTATATTACATTTTTATGTTATTGGTAATAGAGATATAGTTATAAAGATCATAAATCATATGGTCCAGTCAACCTGATCTATTTGTAAAGCATGAAACCAAAATTTATAAATCAGCATTTACTATGTATAGCTTAAGGGAAAACAGCTATAACACACTAATTCAAACTTATAAAATATTTATAAGGATGTTAGTATCCTTGAGATAAAAGTCTTACCAAAGTAGTTGAACAGAAATGTCTGTAAATTTCTGATAAAGAAGTGGTACAGTGTGGAATCAATGCTGTTATTATTGCTTTAGCTGCTAGAATTTTGAAATAGCAGATAGATATTTTGCTAGGGAATTTCTTTTATGTTGTCTTGTATAAGTCATAATTCTTGATAAAATAAGAAAATAGCACAATTGTACAAATGTTGAAATTTTTACTATGTATTGTTCCATCAGTTAAAATTTTACACCCTGTGATTTCTGAGACTAATTTTGCATTAGTGGTTGGATACATATGGATACAGTGATTTTTGATGCCTTGAGAAATTTGATTTGATTAAGATAGCACTTTCAATGTCATCTTGAATGAACAGACATTTTGCTTCTAGAAAAGTAATTTGAAAAATGAACAATTTGTAAATTTGTGACAGATTTTCCCTTAAATATCTACTGTCTTTGAAGCTTCATACTGAAAATTGAACAGATTGTCTCTGAAGGTGCAAGTATATGTACATGTATATTGTATATTTAGCTTAACATGTTACAATCTTACAGGATTTTCTCTTAATCTTAATCTTAATCATTTCCTTGCCCTTAATCATTACAATTAACCTGTTGTATTTCTTAAATGGACTGGTTCAGTTTCCATATATGTCAGCTTTGGTAATATGACGATGAAAATTTAAAGCTGGTCAGCCAACAGCCAATGATCATTTTTTGCGACTTATGATATCATATACCCTGTTCATGAACATAGCTGGCACTCGACTAGAACCATCAACATTCTGTAAGCTAGCTGGATAGCTTTTCCACATGAAAGAATCCGAAGTCCCTGGCAGGATGCACACCTAGAGCAGCTAAAAATAGAAAAATATAAATTTATGCCCATGAACATATCTACAAATAATTTTCTTTGATTTGTAACATTTATGTATTTTCTTTGAGTCTCTTTTTCTGCCACAAAGGGCTTCAGGCAAATAAAGAGAAAAAACAAAACAATGTGTATTGCCTTATTTATCTTGGTAGAATATAATTGAGCCACGTCATGACAAAACCAACATAATGGGTTTGCAACCAGCATGGATCCAGACCAGCCTGCGCATCCGCGCAGTCTGATCAGGATCCATGCTGTTCGCTTACCAACTCTTTTACAAGTAGGGAAACTAATAGCCAACAGCATTTATCCTGATCAGACTGTGCGGATGCACAGGCTGGTCTGGATCCATGCTGGTCGCAAACCCATTATGTTGGTTTTGTCATGACGCGGCTCAATTGGTGTCTGCTCTCGAAATGTTTTAGATAGCTATGTATGGATAACACATCAGTTACCATCTATATGTTCCATGTAAGGTAATGTGTATTATTGTTTCAGATATTTGAGCTACCAGAAAGTTGCTGGATACGAGAAGCTTATATAACTCAGTTTATGAGAATGTTACATAAGAGAGCCCAGTGTTTAATAGAGTGTGCTAAAGCAGAAAGGTAAACCAATGTTTCACACTGTTAGTTTAGGCTGAAAAATCAGCCAATGTTTGACACAGTGAGTTTAGGCTGAAAAATAAGCCCGAGTTTAAGCTGAAAAATAAGCCTGAGTTTAAACTGAAAAATAAGCCTGAGTTTAAGCAGAAAAAGAAGCCCGAGTTTAAGCAGAAAAATAAGCCTGAGTTTAAACTGAAAAATAAGCCTGAGTTTAAACTGAAAAATTAGCATGAGTTTAGGCTGAAAAATACGCATGAGTTTAGGCTGAAAAATAAGCCTGAGGTTAAGCTGAAAAATAAGCCAATGTTTCACACAGTGAGTTTTAGCTAAAAGTTAAGCCAATATTTCACACAATGAATTTAAGCTTATATATATATAAGCCAATGTCTCACACAGTGCTTAAAGCCAAGCCAGGTAAAGGTTTGAAATTATTAGTTTAAGCATTGTTTAAAACATTGTGTGAAAGATATTATGTATTGTCTGAATGCTGGTTGGATTTTTATACCTCATTGTTCTAGATTTGAAATGTTGATCAATGTTTCTTACAGAAAGGAGGCCTTTGCTTTATACAGAGGGCTTGATTTAAGATGTTCATCAGTATGTTCACTCATTTAACTAAAATTGAAAGTACAGAAATTTATACAGAAATTCTAAAATTCAGATATTACAGATGTTAACAGTATTTGATATCATTATGATAATAATATGATATATATAATAATAGAAATGAGCCGTGTCATGACAAAACAAACATAATGAGTTTGCAACCAGCATGGATCCAGACAAGCCTGCGCATCCGCGCAGTCTGATCAGGATCCATGCTGTTTGCTATCAGTTTCTCTACTTGTTATAGAGTTGTAAGCGAACAGCATGGATCCTGATCACACTGTACGGATGCGCAGGCTGGTCTGGATCCATGCTGGTAGCAAACCCATTATGTTGGTTTTGTCGTGACATGGCTCAAATAATAATTTTCAGCAATGATGGAACTGTACCATTGAAGATTCAAACAATCAAGAAGATTAGGACTGACCTACAGCTACACGCAGAAGGGGATTTCCGAATAGTTCTCGCCACGGCTGAAAAACTTAAGCCTGGTATTTTCTGCTTTCTGAAAAGTCAGCGTAAAGCAGAAAGAGATTTCACGAAAAATGTGGAAGTTTTGTAGACTATATAAGTCTCTGTGTTCCACTCTGAGCTGCCTCAAAAGATTTAAGGTGTAATTTAACCCTTAACTTGCTGTATATCTTAAATGAACTTAAATGAAGTTTCCATTTTTGGAACAGACCAATATTAGTTATGGATAATTGAAATTTTTCAGACATCAGTATAGAGCTTTGTGAGACGTCTGCTCCTATTTGCAGACTTGCCTGGCTCTGTACTAGTGACAAAGACTGCCTTAATACTGGTTGCAAATTTCTATCACTTTACGTCAGCAGGGTAAAAATTTAAGACCAGACATTGATTGGAAATACTCTGTTTACATAGATATATACTTCATTTGTGTTTTATTTGTTTGTTCGGACAAGATTTTTTTTTAGATGACACAGTTTAGAAAGTGGTAAAATGATGATCAATTTTACCAGATAATAATGGTGTTCACTTTGAAACTGAAAGTAAACAGAACCAGTCTAAACTGTAGGTATGTCTAGGGGAGGTGATTGAGTACACTCCTGCATTTGAGCCGCGTCACAACAAAACCAACATAATGGGTTTGCGACCAGCATGGATCCAGACCAGCCTGCGCATCCGCGCAGTCTGATCAGGATCCATGCTGTTCGCTTACCAACTCTATTACAAGTAGAGAAACTGATAGCGAACAGCATGGATCCTGATCAGACTGCGCGGATGCGTAGGCTGGTCTGGATCCATGCTGGTCGCAAACCTATTACATGTATGTTGGTTTTGTCGTGATGCGGCTCATTTATATAATAGTTCAGAGACTTGTCTATAATTTTGATAAAAGTTATATACTTACATAAATCAAATTTATTCAAAGTTTATAAAGCAGTACATGGTAATCAAACTCCATTTCTGTTATACTGTGATAAAATATTTGTTATTGTTAATGTTTTTATAGATGCTTATTTTTCCAGTAGTGGAGTGTACGTATTTCTTATACATGTATTTATAGGATCTTTACCAAATACTGTCTCTGACGTAAATAATACTTGGAGTAATTGTATGTAAATAATACACTGACTATATTGACCATGTGTAAGAATAGATCAAGACATTTATATATACATCAATCTTGAATACTGTATTGTTTGTTGAAATTTAATGTTAAATAAATTGTGATGTACATGTATAATAATGTATGCAGGATATTTGTTATATTGTTGTATTAGAACACAGACGTCTTTTTCTGAGCTCTATTTCAAATCTCAGGAGTCTTATTGGTCAGTGTATATTCTGGGCAGGTTTCTGACCAATCAAATGCCTGAAACCTAAGTTTGAGTTTAGAAAATTTCTTTATAACCTCTGATTCTGTTTATACTTACTAAAATTTCATAATCTTGAATCCACTATTACAATTGTAATTAAAAAGCCTGTAAGATGTATGTGCAACAAACCAGAAAAATTTGGTAGAACTTTTAGAGTAGAAGTAATCATGGTAATTTTTGTCATATTTGGCCACATTGGTATAGGAGAAAAAAGTCGATGACAAAAATGCATTTAATGATTTATAGGTTTCTGGCTTAAATCCTGGATATATTTCCTTTGATGAATTAAAATAATTCCAATCATCAATAGAATATTCCTGTGAAATTTCATCAAAACAGCCCCTACAGCTTTCAGCTTAATTTAATGATTTTCTCTAACATATTTAGTAGCTTTAATGTCCAAGTGTTTTGTGATGTGTGATTAGAAACTGTGAATCATTTGTCCCTTTTATTATTGAAGCATTTTGTTATTGAAGCTCATTTACATAAACAGGAAGTTTTTTCAGTAAAATATTTTTTTTTTAACTTTTCAGTCAGTATGCAACATACTGTATGCAATACAATAGGTGTACCTTTGTACTGGTTTCAAGCCTCAAGGACACTGTCAAGGTCATTGGTGAAGTTAGCTTTGCAAGTGGAAGAAGACCTTAGGTGTCCATTTATGGCATTTCAGGCACGAGAGGTCATACAAGTAAAACCACATAAGCCACATAATCTTCACATTAGCTAGCCGACAACTTCCTCACTTAAATCAATACATAGTCCCTGGCAGGATTTAAATGAATTGCAATGATGGGCACGTGATCTGTATGCAACAACATTTACCTCTTGACCAACTTCCCCACTCATGTAGGTCAGTAGTTCCAATAGAACGCATTCTCTTTACTTAAGGGAATGATAGAAGGCCAAATTGCAAGAGAAGTTAACTTGAGCATGTTGAACCAACTGCAATATAAAATTGTGTAGATTTAATTTTTTGTTTTTCTGGTTCTTGTGCTGAATTTTAACAAATTTTGGTCACCTGAATCAATCCATCAAACTGGCTTTTCTGGATAATTAATCAGTAATTAACAATTTCTCAGCAAGTGATGGACAACTTATCCCACATGATTATTTATTTATTATACTACACTCTTTCCATTACTTGTTCTAATGACCTATTCAGCCATATTATTTATTATCCCCCGCTGAAAGGCGGCGGGGTTAATAGAAATAGTCTCCGTCCTTCTGTCCGACATTTTTGTCCGGAGCATATCTCAAAAAGTATTTGAGGTATCAACTTAAAACTTCATAAGTGGATAGACTTCATTGAGGAGGCGTGCAGTGCACAAGAATGATAACTCTACCTTTCATAATTTTTGAGGTATTGCCCTTTGTTATTTTTCAAAATTAATTTTTGTCCAGAGCATAACTCAAAAAGCCTTTGAGATATCAAGATGAAACTTCATAGGTCCATAGATCTCACTCAGGAGGTGTGCAGTGCACAAGAAAGATAACTCTACCTTTCATAATTTTTTAGTTATTGTCCTTTGTTATTTTTTGTACTTAATTTTTCACCTGAGTGGAGCATAACTCAGAAAGTGTTTGAGATGTCAACATGAAATTTCATTGTTGGATAGATCTTATTGAGGAGGAATGCTGTGCGCAAGAATGATAACTCTTCCCTCTATAATTTTTGAGTTATTGCCCTTTGTTCTTTTTCATACTATTTTGTCAGGAGCATATCTCAAAAAGTATTTGAGGTATCAACTTGAAACTTCATAGGTGGATGGATCTCATTGAGGAGGAGTTCAGTGCACAAGAATGATAACTCTACCCTGCATAATTTTTGAGTTATTTCCCTTTGATATTTTTCAAAATTATTTTTTGTCTAGAGCATAACTCAAAAAACCTTTGAGATATCAACATAAAACTTCATAGGTCCATAGATCTCACTCAGGAGGTGTGCAGTATTTGAGGTATCAACTTGAAACTTCATAGGTGGATAGATTTTACTGAGGAGGGTGCAGCACACAAGAATGATAACCTACCCTGCATTATTTTTCAGTTATTGCCCTTTGTTATTTTCAGCCATCAGTATTCACATAGGTTTCAAATCTGTTATCACTTCAGCCATCAGTTTTCATTACCAAAAGACCTCTTAAAATTTAATTATTCTGCTCTACTACATATTATACATTCTTCCAATGAGCAAACACATTCGGCGGGGGATGGCCATGTTGACATGGCTCTTGTTTAAAATAACAAAAGAACATAACAGGAACAAAGCATTTTTTTCTGTATACTTTATTCATTAATATAACATATTCTTTAAATTTAAGGCAACATACAAATGATTATATATAATATATTGTTAAAATATTATTTACAATAATAAATTCTCTGAATATATTGCATAACTTCTACAATCCAGACTGGTATATATAAAGTTAAAACAATGCTATATTAATCACACACAAACATGTTAATCACGGAATCCATTCTCATTTTGCTGAATTTGCAACTGTTAATTTTTTACTAAATGATATGTAAAACGTATATAATCATATATACATATATAAATCTTACAACCAAATAAAAAACACACTATTTCTGATAAATAAACAAATCAGAAGTCTAATGATATGTTGTTTTTTTACAGATATGTAGAATTATTTATGAACACTTGTTAACAAAATTAATATACTGGACACGTTTGTAAATAAGGCTCACAATATGATATGTACTTGAAACATTTAACAGAAAGAAAATTAGTACAAAATTACACTATACTGTAAAGTAACTAGTAATAAAACAGAATTACACAGTTAACACATGTTAATGAATTTTCGTTACAGATTATATTACACAAACCACATTAATCCTTGTTTATTTTTATATTGAAAAGGTGGTTTATCTGAACAGGTGGGCTTTATCTATCCTTGAATATTCAAAAATTTACAACAGTGATATCCTTGATCTTAGACAAGATTTAAAATTCAAGGAATACACATTTTCAATATTTAACCACCAAATGCATACAATATTGAGGGATTCATTAGATATGTTTTATAATAAAAAATCATGTTGAATATATCACAAAATATGAACTATATCAATAAAGACATTCACAAGTGTCTTCATTCATAAGATTTTAAATTTGACTAACATTTTTATACATAAAAGTATGACATATTCTTAACTTTTATTCTAATAACAGTTCTCCACATTAAAATACTGGTACTTATTTTCACAAAAACATGAACAAAAAATTTAAACAAAATAAAAATGTTTTTTTTTAATGATATCACATTACACATTAAGAAACAATGTAAGATGTTATTAAATATCAAGGTAAGATTTGTTGAATATCAGACTATCAATGTAAGATGTCTCATCGGAAATCAATGTAATCAGATGCCCCATTGAATATTAATGCAAGATATCACAATGAACATCATTGTATGATATCACATTGAATATCAATGTATGGTATCACATTGAATATCAATGCAAGATGACATATTGAATATCAATGTAAGATGTCACATTGAATAGCAATGCATTATGTCACACGAATAACAGTGTAAGATGTCACATTGAAAATCAATGCAAGAACTTACATTGAAGATCAATGTAAGATGTCACATTGAATATCAATGCAAGTTTTCACATTGAATATCAGTGTGAGATATCTCATTGAATATCAATGTAAGATACCTCATTGAGTACCGATGCAAGATACCTCATTGAATATCACAAGGTGTGTAAATTAGTTGTTTTATTTGAAATATAACGTTACAAATGGAATGACCGAATTCACTTTATTCAAAAATATAAATTGATGATTATTTAAAACTATCATCAAAGTATTTAATCTTTTTCTGTCAAATACTTAAAACTATCATTACTAGCAAACTATGTTAAGAATATTTGTACATCACACACCATTTTCTATCAGATATATTTTTAGTCACAGCTGATGAGCCTATCGCAATGTTTAGTATAATTCTAGAAGCTGCTGGCGACTAAAGTTTTAGATATCAGATCTGTTCTCTTCCCATTCCAATATTATACAATGAAAATCAATATTAGAACAGCCTATATACAGTAAAGCAAGTTAATATACCAGCAAGAATTCAGTTTCCTATATTGATTGCAGTAACACATGGTGTCTAATTGTCCCTATTATCATCATAGAACAATAATCTCTAATCTCAAACTCTGTCAGCAAAATTCTAAATCTTAACAAAGCTAACCACAACCTCACATAATGTAGATTATTACATCTTTAATCTATTCACTCCCTCGTAGAGAAATTTACCACTCAAAAACATTTAAAAAAAACTTCATGGTCACAATAATTTCATTGAAAAGCAAGTTTACATATTCTAAATATAGTTGTACCATTTAATGTTGTTCATATTCGCATTTTTTAAGCACCTAATGAGGGACTTTTTATGATTTGTTCCGTAAATCTGTCAAGGGGCCGAGGGGCTTTTGTCCAAATACCATCAGGTACTCAAATATTCTCATAATATGGGGGTTTTTTTTGCTGAAAACATGACTATTTCATAATTCAAACATTGTAATTTCATATGTAACAGGAAATGAGGTAACTTAAGAATATGTTCTTACACTACTGACAAAAAAAACCTTCACATTACCTAAAAAAAACAAGGTTTACAATAACGCTTGTTACAATTAATACTCAAAATTAGAAAAAAATATAAACAATACCATTAAATATATTTCATAATCTGAATAAATTTCTGAAATACAACCAGGTACAATTAAAATTGCATAATATACTGCAGAACACTTAATATACATTAAGCTATATAAAAAACAACATGTATCATGTATCACTTAGCAGTATAAAGAATTATACGTAATGTCATGTATACAAATCAACATTAAATCAACATGTTATAAAAGACTATATGATAAAATATTCTTGTAACAGTCATAACATTGACTACTACACTTTTTAGTCTTACACACATTAAAAAATCACAGAACAAGTCAAATATATGATGCATAAATGATACACTTTAACCCTTAAACTGCTTAACTTTGTCAAGCCTTTCCATAATTGATTTTTGAATATCAAGATGAAAACTTTATATAAGCCAAATGTATAGAGCCTGGTCAGACTGCATGGATGTGCAGGCTGACCTGGCTTTATACTGGGGCTGATCACCTCAGTTTCAGCACAATAAGGGTTAAATGTCGAAATTCATAAACTATATACACACTAATTCACTACAGTACAGTTTGGCTACTTGTATCCGTATACGCTATATCATACGCTATTTTTTTCTGTACTTTTCTCTTCTACAGCACCAAAAATTCAACTCCTTACACCAAAATACTGTCAATCATGGCAACTCTTTAATTACAAGTACATACTTCAACTCACCCCAGAAAACAGGCATTACTGATTTCAGAGATTTTAATAACAAATTTCTTCACTACTATGATGCAAGACATACTTTTATTACAAATAAGTAATTTTTAATTCATTGAAAATAAAGAAACCAAAATAACAGAACATTTGGTAATCACTTTTTGCTTTCATTATATATATATATAACATGCTCAATACACACTGGCATGTATTACATGATTTTGGTTTAAAGTCAATGTGGTCTTAAATAAATGTATCTTTGTCGAATCAACACTTAAGTGGTATTTCATATGATATAGTTCTATTATTATCAATTTAGAAAATCTTAAAATAACCAAAAATTTCATACACAAAATACTTTTCAACATTGACACAGTAGCTAAGGCACTAATATCAGCTGTCACCCACTTTTGTTGTTGTTCTTGTGGTTGTCCATTATGAAACAGTTTGAAACACAATCTTGCCTACTGATTCATTGTTTGTCTGGCTATTGAACACAAAATTTACTATCTGGTTTCTAAATAAAGAGTTTCTATGGTTACGATGTCTGCTCAAACTGTGATCTTTTGTTTACAACGCTGGTTGTATCAGGGCTTCTAGGACTACGTGGTGACACAACACCTGAGCCTGACCTCTGACTTCTGAAATAAGCATAGAAATGAAACATTTTTTTTAAATAATTATATTTAACAAAAGTATGATGCACTGATGATTATGCAGTTATTGTACAGTACAACTGTATTTAGTTTATACAAATTTATTTTAGTTTGATTGTATTGGAAGCTAAAGTTTATTGAAACACTCTCAAATCCTCCCTGGAACTAACCAGTACTAAGCAATGAATGTAAAGTTTCTTGCTCAAGGAAACAACGGTTTGCCCCTGACAGGGTTTGAACCCACTCAGTCAGCAATCCTGAGATTACTAGTCCGATGCCTTAACCACTCAGCCACACCGCCACTCAAATACAGCTGTATTTGAACAAAGGACTGTGATGTATTGTTAAAAAAGTCTTAAAGCTGCAACAAGGATAAATACATGTATGTAATAAAATGCATGATAAAATTGATAAAAAAAGAGGAAATTTATATCAAAACATGTAACAATACAGATCAAGGTTGTAGTTTTTTGTTGTATTAAAACCCACAAGTGATCAAAAGTCTACAACAAACCAATCGACCACGGCAACAACCAGTATGCCATACAACCCCCACATTTCCTTAATACATGTATCTTCAGACTAGTGATCATCCTAAATCTATAACAAACCAATTGTTTACAGTGTCAACTACTATACAATGCAACCAATCTGCCCACACCCATCCCTCCCTAATTTCCAGACCTAGTAGATGCATACAAAGTAATAGAAAATTTACCTTAGTTCATCTTCTCTCTCCCTCATTTCTCTAAGCTCCTGTTCTATTTTAGATTCAGCCTTGTGTCTCGATTCTTTATAACTAAATGTTACTCCACCGCTTACACTACGATTAAATTTTGGTGTAGGCTGATCTGGAGTAAGTGCCTTTGTTGGCTTGGGTTCCGGTGCACCGTTCTGTTTCTGTTCAGTGACCGGTGCATTTTTACGTGTGATGCTAAAGTTTCTTTTAGGAACAGAAGATTGCTCTTGTGTGGCAATATCCGTGTATTTAAGCAGTCCAAGATGATCTTCAGATGTTGATTTAATTTTTCCTTCCTCGCGATATTTTTTTTCTAAAGCAGTTTGTTTGTTAATTTCTTTTTGTAACCTAGAGGAAGCAAACTTTTGAATATTATCTCCCTTACTTTGTTGGGTTGGACTAAAGAATGATGATTTTGTAATTGTCACTTCTTCCTTTGTATCATCATCTTTGTTGTATTCTACTTTTGTTTCATCTTTCAATGGAGGAAGACCTTTTGATACTCTATATTCATTTTCCCTCTCTCTTGCTAATCTTATCTCACGTTCAATGGGAGTTTCCTGTCTTTTTGTTTCTTTAGGTTTGTCTGGAGTTTTGTATGTAAGATTTGCCATTTTACCACTTCCACCAAACGTTGTAACTCGTACACCTCTAGGAGTTGCATTTTTTGGTTTTTCACTGCTGTGACCCGAAGAGAGAGAATCTGTGGACTGACGACGTTCATTTTTAAATGGTGACACATCTTTCTGATAACTTGGTTTCTGATTGTCAATATTTTCATTTGAGACGGACTGTTTTACACTACTTGGGGTCACTGCCTGTTTTGGTGTTGTGGCTTTGTTCGTATTTGAGGTCAATTGTCGCTGTCTCTGAAGCTCTTCCTCTCTTTCACGGGCTTCTCGTAATTCACGTGCAATCAAACTTTCACCATCATGTGCAGCACTAGAAATTGCTTCCTCATAAGAAATTCTTGCTTTATGTTCTGGTTTAACCTCACTTTGATCCTCAGCCTCGCTGAGTACATCTGGTGTTGAGACTGGGGTCTCTGACATAGTCGAAGCCGGTGTAGGAACAGATTCAACCACTTCAGTGTATTCCATTGTAACTGTTTCCTCAACCGTTGGCTCGTTATCCTAAAATTTTGGAAATAAATAATTAAATAGTCATTGCAAAGCACAAAAATAAAACATCAACATATTTTTGTACTTTTTTATAGAAACAAAAGGTAAAAAAAAATTACTTTTTTTATATATTAAGCAAACTGTACAATTAATGTGTTGAAACAATATATAATATTAGTCATAAAATTAATTAAAAAGAGACCGTTTATTTTGCTATCACAGACTATTTTGTTTAAGCATTAAATTTACCTTTATTTTAGTTTTTGCTAACTGTTGTCTACGTTCCTCAAGTTCCCGCTCTCTCTCTTGTTGCAGACGTATTTCACGCTCGATTATACTCTCATTGGCATTCTCGTCTTCATCAGCAGACGATGGGCTCAAATCCTGTATAATGTAAAATATCAAAAATTTCAATTTTCATTGATTAACTTTTTACTTGTATCATTAGATACAGAGCACGGAGCCTGACTTTAGTTTATTACCTTTTTTTCATTTGTAAAACTCTACATGCACTTGTAAACAAAAAACATTAATTACTTTTTTCATTAGTAAACTGTTCAAATATACACCTTAATAACCATGTTTATATGAAACATCCTTACCATTGTGTTATATGTCCTTTTTTTACAATTAATATACATCCCTTTCACACTATTTTTCATTTTCTACGTATTTAATACCTCGAGTCTCAATATACAAAAGCTAGTACCCTTTTACCTAACTTTAAATATCATTTATGAATCAAATATAAGTGAAATGATTTAATAGAATTTGTTAATAAAATGTATTAAATGTAATAATAAGATCCACTGAGATAGACTGATTATGCATTAACTGTGTTGTCAATAAAAAGGTATCAATAAACGGTAAATATGATTTTATCTCCTCCATCCATCAAAGCTATCCCTTCCAGCAGATAGCCTTCAAAATTTACAACATTCCGTCTGTAAAAACTTAACACCTATTGACAGGTAAACAAACTTAAAACTTGGCTGTTAATTAAAAATCGGTGTACATATTTCAAAACATCTTTACAAGTTTACATTAACAGAAGAAAAATTGTAATGTCTAGTTTATTCAGCTGATATAAATTTATATAATGGTTGATTATGATTTAAGTCTGAATTTTCATATTTACAATTTTTGTACTTACATAAATTTTTCAAATAGTAACATTTTGCTAAAATTCTTTACATTTAATCATTTCCAGTTTATATTTTGTGTCTAACAATTAATGAACAAAAATTCTTTACCATTTTCAATACATTACAATGCTTTCTCTCAAATGTTTGCCATTATTATAACAATATGCTTATTTTTTTCGAATGGATATTTCATGTATTTATAAGTGCACTGAGTAATAATAATTAATTAGTGGGTAGAATTGACTACAGCCTGTCATAAAATGTGGTAATATTATGTGACACTAACTATACAACAAATACATCATTTAAACGCTCAAATGTCCGTTTTAATATACTCAATTAGTCTGTCTGAACAAACATTTGAGCCGCGTCACGGCAAAACCAACATAATAGGTTTGCGACCAGCATGGATCCAGACAAGCCTGCGCATCCGCGCAGTCTGATCAGGATCCATGCTGTTCGCTTACAAACCCTATAACAAGTATAGAAACTGATAGCGAACAGCATGGATCCTGATCAGACTGCGCGGCGCAGGCTGGTCTGGATCCATGCTGGTCGCAAACCCATTATGTTGTTTTTGTCATGACACGGCTCATTTTTATATCCTTTCATATTTTCATATCTTTCTTGTGTTAACAACAAATGTTTTAACTATTAAACTGCTGAATTGAATTTCATAAGTATGGCTTGAGTCATGCCAGTCTGCACAGAATATGCACGGATACATCCGTGCAGTTCCGAGCAGTTTGACCAGGCTCTATACTGCTGACTTTCAAATTTCATCATGACATCCCTAAAATTGACAATAAACAGTTCCATAAATGGAAGCTGGATGAGTCCATTCAATAAATTAAGCAGGTTACAGGTTCTTTTGAATAGAACTAAGAACTAAAGTACTGAAATGTAATGACTTTAAGGTTTGTAAATGAGGGCACAATTGTATGATCAGTTGCTGAAGATGATTGAATCTTATGAGAAAATTTATTATCATTGGCTTCAGGCGTAAGTTGGTAAATGTGGTGAACATGCATTTATTTCACTGTGGGTCAGTCTTCAAGTTTAGATGTGCGGAAAATACATTTATATATTTATGCTATCTTTTTTATAAGAAAGTGTAGTGATGTTCACGATTATCTTGAAAATTACATGTTTCTAACTTTTATAATATTATTATTATTATTATTGCCTAATGACTTATTAGTGAACTAAGAAAATGAGTTATCAAAATAGTAGAAACTTTACTGCATCTCACCTCAACAGTGCGAGTATTTCCCCTGTAAGCTGCCTCACGTTCTTGTTGTTCCTGCAATTCTTGTTGTATTAGCTCCTCGCGCTGTTGTAACTCGGAGCCTCGGTCAGCTTCCGTCATCTCATGATATGTTGGCTTATTGTTATTCTGCTCAATTTTTTCAAATGTTTCTTTCTTTACAGATGACACTTGTCTCTCTTGTAAGTTAGCTCTTTCTTCTTGCTCTCTTTTCAATAATTCTTCACGCTCCATTGCAAGGCGAATTTCTCGCTCAATAGCACTTTCATTAGCATGCTCAGTGTCCGCCATGTTTTCTGATTCTGAATCGGAATCGTTTTTCGTCGTGCGTACCACGTCTGCTGGAACTCTTTTCAACGGCGTAGGAAGTTTGACTTCCCAATGACGAACCTGTTGAGGTTGTTTCTGCTTCCTAGGAGTTTCTTCGCCTGTTTGAGCTTTGTTTTCCCACTGCTGCCGTGCTTTGGAGAGATTGGCAATAGATTCTCGATCAACAGCCTCAGTGTTCTCTGTTTCCTGTATAATATTTTCGCTGTATAGGTTGACTTTATCAGGTTTTTCTTCCCATGGAATGTTACTACGTTTGCTCACTTCACTTCGCCATTCCTGTATTGTATCTTCTGGATCTGGAGAATCAGCACTATCTATTGTTGCATCTGAAATGAGAAGCTAAAGATAAATATTCCTGTTTTCATCAAATTTAAGGTAATACATCCCAGTTTTTAATAGACATATAGACTGAATGAAAACTTTATAATAGAATTCATTTAAACTTTTCATGATCTTAGAAAATGATAAAAGATGCTTTGAGAAACACAGGAAAAAATAAATCAAGTTTGACAGAAAATTGGAAAAATGAACAAACTGAACAAAAATTATGTTTCACCAAATTTCTAGGGGTAAAAACAATGTTTGTTAAATGCTAAATGAGAATTATGAACAGCAATCATCCCCCATTGGGATTATCTTTTCCCTCACAAATCCAGGGATTGATCCTAAACAGTTGTAACTCCTACTTAATGTCACTTGTGTTACAATCCTTTTGCACAAAACCATGAAAATGCAGGATAAATCTGATTTCAAAGAACTAGTTATTTTTAGATATTTCTTAGAACACCACACTAATCAGTTGATATTATACTGAATGAATGATCTCAAACAACATTTCATGGAAAATTTATTACATGTATTAACACAACAAACCACAGTGTTTCAAAAAATATCAAACTTAAAACTCGAGGAAAATCCACCAAATGTACGAAAAAGGTTTTGTTTAAGCCCTTTTTGAGATAAATTTAAATAGCTTACATTATACAAGATTTAATATATCCTTGATTGAACAAACTGTTTACAGTTTCACAATTCAAACTTTTTGAACGGAGTTTAAAGACAAAATTATGGACCTTTTCACAAGTTAATATAACAAAATATTGACAGATATGGGTCACAGATTATACTCTAGTCTGATAACATTGTTCTTGTACATTTCAAATTTTGGCACAATTCTGCCTCAGTTTGTTTCTATATCGTAATTATTCTAACAGGTGTGTTTGTATTGAACAAATATAATTTAATATAGACATTTCCATATATGAAGTACCATATTACCAGTTTTTGCTCAAAGCTCATTCATAATATCAACAGTATAATTATACACTGATATATCTGAGAGAAAATACTCTAGTTCCCTACTCAGACAATACTTATTTTGAAATTTCCCCTCAAATGATGAATGGTTTAGTCCAGATTGCAGGTTGGACAAGTCCATTTAAGATATCAAACATGTTAATTTAAGGAAATAATTTGCTATCTAACATTTATCTTTCACACCATATATGTATATACCATAATAAACTAGTGGTACGCTGCATCAGTGTTTGCCTCAAAGCTATCATTAGTGAATATATAGTATAGCCAGTACATCACATATATGAGTCATAAAAAACCACAAGACATATATATATAATTTTCTTTAAACAACATTGTTAACAAGAACTTGGATTAAAAAAGATATTCGGTCAACAAACTTTGAAACAAGACATATATACTACATTAAAAAGATATTTTGGTCAACAAACCTTGAAACAAGACATATATTACATGACTGAAAGTGAAACTAACAACTGAGTCACATATTCAAGATTTCAAAATACATAATCTACACTATAAATATTTACTAAATCTATGTAAGGAATTATACTTCACTTTAAGTTCACATTTACATTATATTAACTTACTAACATTATCCCTAATGCATTGACACATCAAGTTGTAAAAGCAAAATAAAGTTTCTCATTTACCTGGAGTATTTTAAAGAGCCAATAACACAAGTCTTTGAAATGAAAACAGAAAGAATTTTCCAGAACTTACAGAAGTAACAAGGACATTAAATCCATATTACTACCGGCACAAATGGTACAACCCCTTTATATACCAGGCAAGGTGCCACATTAAACCTGTTCTTCCCATTTTCTATAAATCATAAAAATATTTACCTTTATTTCTGACAACTTTCATTATGCAATGTTATCTGATCAGAAGGCAAAACAAAAATCATGGTAAAATTAAATATTTTGAACATAATTTACACCTACATATAAAATCAGGAAACACCTTTAAATCAAACAACATTCCATTTGTAAAATTTATATGACTCATAATCTCTCCTGATAAGGATATGTGTGAATGTGAAATACAACAGTAGATTTGTCAATCCTATATAAATTATTTCACTATAAACCCTAAATTCATATAATAGACTTGGCCCAGCAATGAATTTGGAACTGTTCATTATCAATGAAAGGGATTTCAACATCAACCCTTAGCATAATGGCAGCAACTGATTCTACTCATACAAAAAGTGCCGTCTGATCATAGTCTATACTGTCTGCTATTCAGTCAGTATATATTTTGAACTTTTCCCTAAAAATGATTAATGGTTTTGTCAAGACTGAAAGATGGACAAGTCTATTTAAGACATTTAGGGTGGTAAAGGTATGAACAACCAATAGAATAATTTAGAGCCTGAGTCTAACTTCGCAGATATCCAAGCTGGCCTGTATGTATCTAAATATCAATGACCAATCATGATTGTAACAGCCAAAGATGTTAGCAAACAAAGATCATCATATACACATCAAACATTATGCTGAAATATTCGTCAAAGCGGAAATCAAAGGTCAATATGTATCCTGAATGAATTTATTACAGATCAATATGCATTCAGGTGCGACATTCTTCCAAATTACCTCATGATCACATGATTACATGATTACAAATTGCACCCAATTTCCTTGTACAAAACAAAATCATACCATGCCTTTTTATTATCACAAAATTAATCCGCCTTTTAAATATTTTGTGTCCACACTTTAAAATAATAAAAATCGAAAGGTAAAACAAGTAACTCGTTATCAAATTATTTAAAATGTCACAACTGTAACTAAATTCTTGTCGTATTAAACACTTAATTGTATATAAAGATTTTCAACATCAAACTGTATTAATGACAACCAAAATAAACTTTAAATGCTTCGTAAAATATGCATGCATAAAGCTGTTTTGAATTATAACAAGATAACATTTTGACCCACCTTTATAAGATGTTGCCTGTAAAATGAGTACAGCGCTGGATGAATATATTTTAGGACCTTCAAAATCCATTATCACTATAGTACATATAGATAAGTAACAAATTATATATGCATGTCCCGTCTATGTCTCTAAGACTCAGTTTGACGCACAATTTCTATAAGAAAAGTTAAAACATAGAGGAAATATTCCGCTGATTATAGTCAAAACGTTCAAATAAGATGTATCAACCTAGCAACTTAACAATGTTACATTCTGCTATGTCACTTTTCTCCTACGATCATTATAAAGTATGCAAGTAAGATGCAAGTGTTATGTCACCTGCTTGTTTAATCTATCATTATGATATCTCGTGAGCAGCTTTCAGCATAATGGTCGACATTCATATACCGGTATATATAATTCAATATGTAGTCAATGGAAACACAAGGTTCTATATCATACAGAAAAAACAGATATCTAAATCCATGGAAACCGACAATTATTTATCCAGTAATTTATCAAGTAAAACATAAAGATTTATATATATATTAATTTGAAAAAAAGATGTGGCACTGTTTCTATTCAGTTACCAGTACTTAAGTGGAAAAACTGAATATGACTGGCGTAAGGGAGGAAAAATTAAATTTTGCCTTAATAGTCAGGTAACATGTTGTTCTAAAATGACACCTGTTTATAGAGAAAATGACATCCGTATTCTATCATCTACATTATTATCTCTCATTTGTCAGGAAACTTGTGATATTATCAACCAGTGAATGACAAAACTTTTGATAATTGGCTATATCCATGAAGCAATTACGTCAACACTATACAAACTTTACCTCACTTCCTTAGTAACCTTTCTATTTGACCTTTATTCCTACTGAATTTGTGAAATTGGCTTGTTCTGCTTTGATTTCCACAATAACCGTTATTAGTTAAAAGGGAGAAAATACCAAAAAAATAAGTAGTGTGTGTGTATTTGAGTTTATTTATACTCGTCATCGGTTGCCCAACATGGCAGAGTCCTCCAGAAGAGTAATAGTCATTTCATATTTTGGGGGATAGTGCAAGATACGGTACAGAAAGATGCCCCAATTTTGGTTCTTTAACATACAAAAAATAAACAGTCATCATTGTATAGAGTATAGAGCCTGGTTAATTAGGCTAGTCAGGCTGTCTAATGGTGGCACAGGCAAGTCTCTAGTTGTTGCAAGCCCACTTAAAGTTGACCAAATGTCTTATACCTAGTTATACAGTATGTTTTTACAGTCCCAGTGTAAGACTCTATACTTATACTGGAATACTTTCAATGTTCTTTGAAAAAATTGGCTGTATTCTTCAAAGATACACTTCATACTTTATTATTGCAAAATATCTTTTATCTGTTTAAACATTAAATGCTTTTCTCCAACAAAACCTAAGAATTTTAATCTTCCAACAGACGTTACACTTACATAATTCATTCACTAACCAATTAATAATTTTAATTAACAAAAAATTTAAAACACAAAATTAACCACACAAACAAATTATTCACTTGTCCAGATATGAAAGTCCATAGATAATTTACAAAATAAAATCCAGCTTTGCTTATTTATTATTTCTTCGAACAAAGTAAAGGAGAACTATTTGTTTTTTTTTCAGCACAACAAATTATCGTACGGATGAACGACAAACAAGGTTGAGCAACGTTATGATAAACTAACACTAAAATTGTTTTATAATTTTGTTATTTCCTTTCCTCCGACATTGTACTTTTCCTATGACAAGTTTGAAAATTATGTCCAATGAGATGAAAACATGACCAAAATACATGGACAAACATAAAACCATGTCATGCCACAAGCAGTTTATAAAATTTCGACAATGTTTCAACCACTCATAACTGATTAATTTAGTCAGCGTACATTTGATTTTTCGCAGCGTACATTAGATTTTTCACTTGATTTCATACATTATTGGGTTTATTCATGCATAAATTGCAATGGCAAATACAAATGTATTATGCGAATGATTTCCTTCATTAAAAAAGCATTTTACATAATGATATCATGTAATTTTAAATGTCAAAGAATATGTT